GAGAGATTCTATCAGAAATCAAGTTAGAAAGCACTCATACATTTAAATTTTCAGTCATTAATTAACAGCGAATGTTTTCTCATATAATGGTTCAGCATGCTAGTGAAAGTTAAATGTATGGTGTTTTGTGTTCTATTTTGACATTACTTCTTCAAATAACTCTATAGCTGTAACTTGTAGAGATAGACAAATTATATAGACACCCTTCAGCAGGTGACAAAGAAAATACAATCAATGAACTGAGACAGCTCATCAGTCATCCACACAGGACAGATACAAACAGAGAAAAGATATTGAAAATAAGTTCTGTTTAAATTTCAAATGAAATGTGATTTTGTTCATCAGTTTCTAAATTGAAAGAAAATTCTGATAGATTATACTATATTACATATAATAAATAACATAGTAAATAAATAATGTAACACAATATCTACATTATGATAGTATAACATTTCTGATGATAATATATTTTAATAGAAATTTTGGAAATATTGCTCTTTTGTATACCATAAATGATGTGGAGCTCAAATTTAATGTTGGCCTACTAAAACACCTGGAATGGTTAAGATATGAAACTGAATGCCACATAAAGTTAGACATCAAGTAGAAGAACTCTGTAGTTTTCAATGTGCATGGGATCCACATCCGAAACTGAAAGTTCAACTTGATGAACTGATAAGCACACATGATTCCCATGAAACAAGTGACTGCTGATTTGAAATAATGATAATCTTCTACATGGTAAATAAGATAACATTCAGAATTTTGGTAAAGAGTAATGCTCTATAGAGTTGCAGAATATGAGAATGCGTTTGCATATGTTATAAATCTCACAAGGTGGAGAATGTAATTATTTTTGAAGAGTGTCTATAAAGATATTACCAAAGTTATCTGGTCTTCATCTCCACCATCATCCACCTTGAAAATTTGTTCCACTAAGATCGAGCAAAAGAGAAGTTCTAACCAAATGTGGTCTTGAATTTGGGGAACGTGACATGGGACAGTTAAAACTCACGTTAATGTTTATATGTAGTGAGAACAAAGTTCAGACTTTAATTCAGGCTCTGCCTCTTAATTGCTGTGACTTACTGCACAGATTATATAAACACTTGAACTTCATTTCAAAAGTACAGTAATAAGTACTTCACAAAATATTGTGGATGAATGATCACCTATTGGTAAGAAGTAATACTATGGCATCCTATTTTTCTTTCATTCAGCACTATGTTTTTCCAAACAATACAATCCCCGTGCTTCTCCAGTAACTCATTTTAATTGCTGCTCTATTTCCCCCACAGACAAAGCTGGCTCTCCCCCTAAGCCCACAGTTTTTCTTCCTTCAGTCAATGAAAAGGAACCTCATGGAATTGGAACATATATTTGTCTTCTTGAAAATTTTTTCCCTGATGTTATTAAGGTAGACTGGAAAGAAAAGAATGGCAACAAAATCCTGCAGTCGCTGGAGACAAGGCCCATAAAGACTGATGATAATAAGTACATGAAATTAAGCTGGCTGACAGTGACTAAAACTTCAATGGATAAAGAACACGTTTGTGTTGTTAAACATGAGTTTAATAAAGGAAGGAAAGACCAAGAGATTGTTTTTCCTTCAATAAATGAAGGTACGTATGTAAATATACATATAACCACCCAGTACACTATTCTTCCCAAAGGAAATACCCAACTTTGTCAAGTATTAATGACAAGAAAAAATTTAAATATTTCTAAGATATTACATTGAAAATTCATATAACTGTCCTCTACTTTATACAGAATTAATATAATATTGGTTTTGAAAAGTAAAAAAGGAAAAATTGATCTAAATTTCCCCAACATCTGTTTCATTATTATTAATGAAGGTCACTTTTTGAGGGGTTTTCCTACGGCTTGAAGAAAGCTATGCTTGAAAGAAACTTACAAATTAGCACACAATAATTGTTCAAATTTTGGTGTTTTGATGAACATGTTTGATCAGGAAATAAGAACAATTATACATATTGCAAGGATTTTCTAAATAGCAAGCTATTTTCACATCTACTTATCATATAATTAATAAATAACAAATAACAATTTATTAGGAGACAAAATCATGTTCTGCAGTTTGAGTGAGATCATAGTTCCATAAAAAATAGCATAATTGGTCCTGCAGTTTTATTATGTTCTTAGGTTTTTCAGATTTGTATCTTACATACCAGCAGGCGGTAATATTTCAAATTTAAAGAACAATGAGTGAGACCAACGTGTACACACATACTTTGATGTAATTCAATGAATGTATTTCTTACCATTAGTAATTGCATCTCCACACACATGTATTGCAGTAAACAGAGAATATGGAGCTGGCAGGGATGGGAGGATGAACACACAAGGAAGAAGGACTGTGTCAAGGAGGCTGATGATTGCAAAGAGAATATATTATTTTCCTAGTCACTGAGGGTCACTTGTGATTCAGGAATGATGTTTTGAAGGAGTGTCTTTACACAGTGGCTGCACACATCTAAATAGTTGGGCAAAACCTTGACAAGGACCCCAGCTCAGTGGTCCCAGAACTCAATAGACTCAGGACATAGAAACCTGAGGATGAACACAGCAGACCAAAGGCCCCAGAGTGTGTCTAAAAGGAATCAGTCTGACCTTTCTTCCAGTTGTTAACAACCTCTTTTAGGCTGAAGTAGGGGGAGGATATAAACTCTTAACAAAATTGAGAAGACTTTTTTTTGTATAATTGAATTTCAGTATTAATCCTTCACCATCTTCAATTCTAAATTCCCCACTGGCCAAATTTTATTTGAACAGAACCCTGACTATGTTCCAAATGAACTAACCACAGCAATAGCACTTGCTTTTTAAGAAATATATATAACAAGATTAATTTACTCAACTAAAGTAAGATTACAATCTTAAACCCATTTTTCTACTTTTAAGAAACAGGGAACGCAAATACACTGATTGTAAACTTCAGATAATGACTGAAAGTAGGTGCCTATTAGATTTTTCTAGTGATAAGGGGAACATAAAATGCTCAGCAAGTTCCATGGCAATGGTGCCCAAAAAGCAAAGAGGTCAGTTTTTTTTTTTTAAAGATTTATTTATTTATTAGTACAGAACTGGGGTACAGGTCAGAGATGCAGAGGGTGAGAGGATTCACCAGAGACAGAGTGGGGTGCAGAACAGGCAGATCCACGAAGTACACTGCTGAGGGGAGCAGCGGGCGGGTCAGGAGAGGTCAGCCACGCCATGTGGTCACCTCCGGGGCAGGCGGGAATTGAACTCATGTGGAAGTGGCTTTATCTTCTTAGTGCTGTGTTTTAACCCGCTGCGCCACCAGGGAGGGCCGCAAAGAGGTCAGTTTTTAATGTTTCACTGGGGGTTAATTCTACAACAGATTTCTTCCATGGTCATCAAAGCTGATCTCATTACTGTTGACATCATTTTAGTACTGAAGGGTTTTTGTTATTACTTTCTGTTTTTGATAAGAGCTAAAAGTAGAACTTACAAAAGCTAATGAACGGAATGAGTTTGAAAAGAGATAAAAATTTTCATCCAAGTTTTCAGCCAAACTTCATTGGGAAAAAGAACTCAGCATATGCGCATTGATTATGAAATTTTTTTTTGTCATGTCCACAAAACCCCACATTAGAAAATTATCTGTGTGATTAGGGGTTACAGTGAATTGGAAAGCCCTTACTTTGCAGGTTAGATTTTGGAGTGGATTCCAAGAATAAACTAAATTTTGATACTGATCTTTCAAGTCAGCAGTGTGTAAAGCGACCACTTTTTTTTTTGGTTCCTAGTGAAAAAGCGTTTACCGAACACCAACCAAGATGCAACAGAAGGAAAAGAAGGTGATCTTGAAGTGATAGGAGATGAAAGTGGTAAGTTTTGCCATGCTTTTGCTTTCCTGACGTGGGATAGCACAATTTCTCTCCTGCTCAACATAACTTTTAAAGTTGCCTGCTATATGATATAAAAATGAATGGATTTTGCGTATTAGATGGAGTGATATCTTAAATCAATCCACCATTTTCTAGGAGGTATCTTAGCACCGTCATTGCTGGTCTTGGTACGAGGTGACTGACATTGGAGTGTACAAAATGATATGGCCTGAATCATTTCCACAAGGGAGTTCATTCACTGTGTTTCTTTTTTGCTTATTATTTGAGAAAACATGACATTAACTTGCTCTTGGATTATATTTGAGGTCTTTGGTCCTTGCCAGTTGCTAATAGTTAGCGGTACAGAAAGACATTCCCTGAGAACATCTTATAAAGGACATCATGCTATATTTTGAATAATTATTTTTTATTGAATACTCACAATTCTCCTATGAGGTGGTCCAATATTTCCCCCCTAAACTCACTTTTAGATGAGGACATGAGATAAAATTTAATGAAATTTCTTGTACCATGTCACAGCTAGGTAAGGCTAGCGGATCAAGAGTTCACACACCTCTCAATTCTTCCTCTAAGATGTAGTTATATTATAGACTCAGAGCTCAAAGTTAAAGCTCTAAATGTCATGGATATATGGGTTGGGAGGGTAAGTGCATGGGTTTCAGTGTACCCTGGACCTCACTTAAAGGCTAGTTCTTTTACTATTCAGTAGATGAATATAGACAAACAACTTACTTTATCAGAGCAATGCATTTTTAGCTGCTTATGGGGGAAATTACACCAAACTCAGTTCTTGAAGACATGTAGTCACCTTGGTGGAATGTCTCACTTAGGGTCTCTGCTCTCTCTGGGACAGGATCAGTACTAGTTTCTATCCTTTTCTCCCTACATATGTACCAAGAAAGTGACTAACTGCATTGGCTCCTGCCCTTGATCTTTCTTGCCTTGCCAATATCAAGGGTCCCAGGACCTTACTTGATCAAGGGGAGGGGACTAATGAACACATCACTGTTAGGCCAGCCCAGGCAGTGCTTCTGGCCCCCTCACTGCTCAGGCTGGCCTAGCAATTACCTCTTGAGATCCCTCTTAATAGCAAGTGCCAGCGAGGATATAATTCTGACTATGAAAATAAAACCTGTGAAAGGGAAATTTCCACAGACAGAAACTCACTCAGACTGTGGTTCATGGAGGATCCAGTCTGGCTAGCTTTGCTGTCACTTACTGTTTGTTGCCACGTAGGTTTCCTTCCACGTGTGAAAAGCTATATGTGCAATTATCCTGTAACATCATAAGCACATGGAAGAACATACACGAAAGACATATGACTGAGCCATAGCCTCCTAAAATTTTAGAGATCTTAGGTTAACCGTTCTTTCATTTTATGCAATGACCTCTTTACCAAAACCTCCTGCCCTGTCCCCTGTCCACACCATCGTACTTTCATGGACTCTACCCGAAGTCTGGTTTCTGTTACTAAGTAAATGCAGCACATCATGCAACTTACTTCCCTCTCTCACCATCTCATTTGTAAAATCGGAAAGGATACTAATTTTATAGATTTGGTAAAAACATAATAAGACTAAAAACTTACAAGCAAATATTTCAAAATGAGTGTTCTGTATTTGTTTAGTGACATATTAATATTACTTAGAGATAATACCCATACGTGCTCGGTGAAGATAAAAGCTATTTAGCCATTTATTTTCTATTATCATTTCTCATTAAAATGAAACTTTACTTGCCATTTTAGAATCCACATGAATGTACCTTAGGTTGTAACAACAGATCTTGGTACTGGATCTGTTGCTGGTTCTTGTCATTACTGGTGGATAGTGGTGATGGCTATAGATAGTTACTTTGGTTTTTGGTGGTGGGAGATGTTACATCAGCACGGGCAATCTGAAATAAAGGATTGTGACCCCACCTCATTTAATGTGTTCTATTATTTCTTGTAATTTAATTTTTAATTTTTTAATATTTTATTTATTTTTTACATCATCCTGCATTTTGTGCATTTTTTTTTTATCTCAGTTGTAATCCTCATGGGCTTCCCACCATGAGTTCACCCATGTGCCATCACCATAGTCCTGTGCACTCTCCCCACCCTAGTTTTGATCCATTTCCCTTTCCATCACGTAACATGTCTCTGGTTTAAAGTTATACATTGTTTTCATTTTTAATTTATTACATTTGCTTCTCTTCCCCACTCATCCCACCCTGTGGTCCCTTACACTCCTGCTATGAGTGAAACCATCGGTATTTTTCTTTTTCTTTCTGGCTTATTTCAGTAAGCATGATCCCTTCTAGCTCCATCCATGTTGGTGGAAATGACAAGAATTTATCTTTTTTGATTGCTGAATAATATTCCATTGGGTATATGTACCACATCTTATTAATCCTGTCATCTACTTTTGGGCATTTGGGTCGATTCTACCTTTTCCCTATTGTAAATAATGCAGCAATAAGCATGGTGGTGCGGGTGTCCTTTTGAATCAATGTTTTTGTATCCTTTAGGTAGATATCTGTGGTGGGATTGCTGGATTATATGGAAGCTCTATTTTTAGTTTGAGAAATCTCCAGACAGCTTTCCACAGTGGTTGGACCAGTTTGCATTCCCACCAGCAATGCAGGAGAGTTCCTTTTTCTCCACATCCTCACCAACATTTGTTGTTGCTATTTGTTTTAATGTGTGCCAATCTCACTGGTGTGAGGTGGTATCTCATTGTGGTTTTAATTTGCATTTCCCTTATTACAGATGATGTTGAACATTTTTTAAAAATTATAATAGTTTATTTATACATATGTTTGTTTATTTTTTCATCTCAGTGCAATACCTTTGGGTTTCCCTTCACCAAATCACCCCTGTGCCACCACCATAGTACAGTGCACTTCCCTTTCCCCACGATTTTTGATCCCTTTTGCCACTCCAAAGCCATAAAATGCCTCTGGTATATAGCTGTTAATCATTATCATTATTTTTTTCGCCTGTTCCATTATATTCCTGCTATTAGAGAAACCATCCCTTATTTTTCTTTTTCTTTCTGTCTTATTTCACTAAGTGTGATATTTCCAGTTTGATCCATGTTGCTGCAAAAGACATGTGTTTCTTTTTTTTTTTTGGTTGCTGAGTAATATTCCATGGTGTATATGTACCACATCTTTTTAATCCAATCATCCATTTTTGGGCATTTGGGCTGTTTCTATCTCTTTCCAATTGTGAATAAAGCAGCAATAAACATGGGGTGCAGGTATCTTTTGAATCAGTGTTTTTATGTCTTTTGGGTAGCTACCTAGGAGTGGGATTGCTGGGTCGTAGGAGAGCTCCATGTTTAGCAGTTTGAGGAACCTCCAAATAGTTTTCCATAGTGGTGGTACTAGTTTGCATTCCCACCAGCAGTGCCTCACCAACATTTGTTGTTGCTAGTTGTTTGAAGATGTGCCATCCTCACTGGGGTGAGGTGGTATATCATTGTGGTTTTAATTTGCATCTCCCTTATTACAAGTGATGTTGAACATTTTTTTCATATGCTTGTTGGCTGTCTGCATTTCCTCTTTGGAGAAATATCTTTTTAGCTCTTCTACCCATTTTTTGATTTGGTTGTTTACTTTATTTTCATGGAGTTTCATCAGCTCTTTGTATATATTTGTGATCAGTCCTTTGTCTTTAGTATTGTGTACAAATATTTTACCTCAATTGTGCAATGTCTATTTTGCTGTACAATGTGCTTGTGTAGTGTCTCTTTTGTGGTACAATGAATTCTATTTTTAAAAGAGAAACTAATCACATGTCTTTTCTTAGAGCTACTGCAGCTTCAGTTCAACTACATCACTGCCTATTACACCTACGTCCTCCTCCTTCTCAAGAGCATGGTCTACTTTGCCATCATCGCCTTCAGTCTGTTCAGTGCAGGAGTTTGGAGCTATGGAAAGAGTCCATAACATAGTGGCCAAAGGCTTCAACTTTTGCTACCACTTACTGTCCCTGAGAGTGTCTGCTGAGGATCAGCTGGGCTGTTCTTCTGAGTTTGGATTATTTTTGTTCTCTTCTTGTACACATTTATTATGTTATTATTATATAAGCCCCCCCCCCGCAGTTTACATGAAAAACTGGGAAAAGAGAAAATTTACTCTGTAATAACAGAAAATGTTGCCATTATTCAGGGGCAAGCCAAGAGATATCCCAAAAGTACCAAAGTACATGTCTAGTAGCACTGCCTCCATAATCTCATTAACAGCTCCTGCTGGCCCAACTATCCTGTCTTCTGAGTATAGACTGCAAGCAGCTTCCAAAATGATTAGCCATATAATTGCCCTGACATGTTTAATATTCTTTAATATATGTTAATTTTGTTTTTTAAATTCTGTTTTGAAGTTTTTCATTTTTTGTACCCTGAAACTGCCATAGTTGCCTCTTGAATTCTGTTTTGCTTTACATAAGAATGCAACAAATAAAAAATGAAATTAACATTGTGTGTTAATTAACATTGTGTGTCCTTTAATTTGATAACATATAATTGAAAGTTGACTGTAAGAAACAGCATGACAACTGAGCTCTCAAATTCAGCAATGAATGTTACAGTAGCCAACAAATATCTCTACTTCTTTTCAGAGACAGTTGTTATGGCTCTTTCCTGGGGCACTGACTCAGCGACATCCACACAAAATGAAAGGATTGCGGGCCCTCCCTAATGGTGCAACGGTTAGGACACAGCACAGCAAGCTAGTGGCAGTCATGTAAGTGCTAGTTGTATCCCCGGCCAGAGTTGATCCACATGGCGAGGCAGACCTCTCCTGTCTCACCCACTGCTCCCCTCAGCAGTGTACTTCATCAGTAGGCCTGTCCTCTGTGTCTCTGGTGAATCCTCTCACTTTCCTGAACCTCTGGCCTGTACTCCAGTTCTCTATGCATGAATAAATAACACTTTAAAAAAAAAAATGAAGGTGTTTCGACACTTGCAAAGCTGCTTGATTCAGATTTTTTGGTTTGGGGCACTCCCATGGCAAGTGGCTGAGCCTACCACGCCTTGCACTGTGTTTACTGGTGTTTCTCAAGCCCTGTGGTTCCTGATCCTCACATAATCCATGAGAACTGCTCAAACATCAGCCAGGCAGCAAGGAGGAGGAGGAAGGCCCTACATGGTGGGTCTACTGGGTATGAATCTTGAGCTTTTATTTATACCTGTGTGTTGCCTGGTGAGCTACATGAATCTTAATGCATCATTTCTTCACCTGAAAATGAATGACCAGAGCCCTATTCCGGAGTTATGGAATTAGAGGAATTACTAGTGCTTTTATATGCAATCCACAGAATGAGTCTCTACTATTAGTAACTATTCTTTAAAAATTTTCAGAAACCCAAGCACAAAGGCACTGGCTTACCACTTGCTGGTTCCAGTAGCCCTGTGGAGTGGTCAGCTGGGGATGGAATAAGGAATTGGTGAGCTTCTACTTCATACCAGACAATCTCTGTAATTTTCTAAGAACACTGAGACAGGGACAGTGCTAATGCACAATTTACAGAGTCAGGAGAATTTGTTTAGTTCAATTTCACCAGAGTAATTGTCATACTTTAAAGTCCTGAGGCTTTGAACTCAGACCCATATTTTACATGTGTATAGATAGCAAATTGACATAGGGAGGTTATTGTCTTGTGGTCTAGCATTAAAGACGGGCATAGGCTGTTTTTTTTTGTTTGTTTGTTTTTTTATTGATTATCTGTCCTTTTAAAAAGCATGCATCCTGCCCATCCCTGGTGGCACAAGGGGTTAAAGTACAGCATTATTGATGCAGCCAGTGCAGCATGACTTTGATCCTGGACCAGGTAGCTGATGCACATGTTGCAGCAAACCTCTCCTGACCTGCCTGCTCTTCCCCTCAGCAGTGTACTTTTGAATCCAAGAAATGGTATCTCATCTATGAATCCTAAGTGAAAAAACAAACACTTTTTTTTTCAAAAATTAATTACTGAAGCAAAGAGAGGACTATTCTATGATGAGTTAAATTTAATGTGAGCCTTCTTACAATAAATATAAATACCATGGTGAATTTGACTTTCTGAATACAAAAGTACAAAATATATCCTTTGGGAAGAAATAACGGAAATAGTTAATTCCTTCTCCTTCTCATTCTCATTCACCTTCTTCTTCCTCTACCTTTTCTTCTTCTTCTTGATTTAAAGAGTAATTTATTTATGCATACAAGAACTTGAGTATAGGCCAGAGGTACAGGAGGGTATGAGGATTCACACGAGACAGAGTGGGGAACAGAAAAAGCAGATTGACTGAAATACACTGTGAGGGGAGCAGCAAGTGAGACAGGAGAGTTCTGCCATGCCATGTGGGTCAGCTCTCTGTTCTGTGATGCAACTTGTGCACAGTGGCTGTGGATAGCTTTATAGGGCTGAAACATAGCCCTCCATGCCATCAGAGAGACCCCAATAATTGACTTTTTATGACATTTTCTAATAGGAAATTCATCCCCAACACTATAGGATGCAGTCATACCTTTCTAGTTAAGTACCATTTATGATTGTTACTGAGCTCAACGGCATAGATGAATAAGTACTCACCAAAGAGAACATATGTACTTTAGTATCTAAAATATATATTACCTGTCCCTCTACAGAGGACATTTGGCATTCCCTGCTGGGAAGCATTGGTAAGTGGTTGAATTTATAAGTAAAACGTTAAAGTGGTATCAGGAGAAAACACTGATATATTATACTACATGAAAAAGGAAAATAAGTTTGCATGACAAAAACTTTGTGGAGATGATCCTTTGATGACTATGTGGAGATGATCCTTTGATGATTATTGCCTAGACTCCTCCATTATACTTCCTAGCCCTCCCTACTTCCTTATCCCCAACGTCTCCAGCAGGTGCAAAAAAAAAAAAAATCAGTGAATATCTAGCCTTGCCAAAACCCATATAAAATGGAAAATGAAGAGACAGAAGAACACAGTACAAATGCCAGACAATAAAATACAGGAAGCAGTCCCCACACAGTATTGTTATGACCATTATAGAAAACAATAGGAGTCATACCTGAAAATACAGATTTTGTGTAGAGCATGGTAGAAGGAGAATTCATGGCAATAGTCCTAGCAAAGATAATAGAATTCAAAAATCACTTTACACTCATGAGAATAGCCATATTTAAAAAAGCAGAAACAACAAATGCTGGCAAGGATGTGGTGAAAAAGGAACACTTTTACAGTGCTGGTAGGAATACAAACTGGTTCAGCCACTATGAAAATCTGTCTGGAGGTTTCTCAAAACACTAAAAATGGCCTATTATATATATGACCCAGTGATTCTACTCTTAGGAATCTACCCAAAGGACACAAGAATACTAATACAAGAATACTAATTTGAAAGGAAATCTACACCCCTATGTTTATGGCAACACTATATACACATACTAAGTTATTGAAATAACCCAAATGCCCCAAACACATGTTTGTATCAAGAAGATGTGGCCTATATACATAATGAAGTACTACTCAGTCATTAAAAAAAGGAAAACCTCATGCCTTTTACAGCAACATGGATGGCATGAAATGGATTCTGCTCAGTGAAATAAGTTGGGAGAAAAACAGAAAGCTATCAGATGGCTTCACATCTATGTCGAATATAGAGAAACCAAAAAAAAAAAAAAATACAAGTGTGAAAGGACATTATTTTTTTCCAAATAGAGAAGGAGCATGAAAAAGAAAACCATAAATAAATAAACTTGAAGAAAATGTAAAAATGTTTAAGCACATCAAACTTAACATTACATCATGAGTATTATACACCATGATGAAGTGGTTTTCATCCAGAGACAAGTATAGCATAATATACATATGTAAGCTAATGTAATAAACAATGATAAAAAAATCAAAGATACTCAGTAGCACAAGGATGGTTCAACATCAGAAAATCAATTAATGTAATCTATCAAATCAACTGACATAAAAATAAAAATATATAATCATATCAATAGATGCAGAGAAGGCATTAGACAAAGTTTAGCACCCATTTATGTTTAAAGCTCTCTAAATCCTCAGAATACAAGGAACATAACTCAACATGATAAAAGCCATATATGATAAACCCACAGCCAATATCAATCTCAATGGAGAAAAGCTGAAAGCCTTTCCTTTGAGATTGGGAACAAAACAAAGGTGTCCATTATTGCCACTGCTCTTCAACATAACATTGGAAGTTCCAGCCAGAGCAATAAGACAGGAAAAAGATATCCAAGGAATCCAAATAGAGCAATAAGACAGGAAAAAGATATCCAAGGAATCCAAATAGAGAAGTAAAACTGTCCTTACTTGCAGAGGACATGTTAATTTACATTAGAAACCCTAAAAACTCCACAGAGAACTAATCAAAACCATCAATGAATTTAAGAAGGTAGCAGAATATAAAACCAACACACAAAAGTCAAAGGCCTTCCCATAAATAATCAATCAGAAGAAGCAGAAAAAAAACACCCACTTTTCAATTAATACAAAATGAATCAAATACCTGGAATAAACCAAACAAAAGAGGTAAAAGACATATACAAAGAAAATTACAAAACTCTGTTAAAAGTAATACAAGAAGACACCATGAAATGGAAAGACATCCCCTGCTCATGGATTGGGAGAATTAACATCATCAAAATGGCCATCCTATTAAAAGTAATATACTGACTTAATGCATCCCAATAAAAGTCTCAGTGACATACTTCAAAGAAATAGAAAAAATATGGATGAGATTAATATGGAACCACAAAAACCTTGAATAGACAAAACTCTCATGACTAAGAAGAAAGAGAATAGGGACATCACAATCCCAAACTTCAAGCTATAGTACAAAGCCATAATAATCACAACTACATGGTACTGGAACAAGAACAAGCACACAGACCAGTGGATTCAAATAGAAAACCCAGATATAAACCCACAGGTTTATGGGCAGCTAATCTTTGACAAAGGAACAAAAAGGATACAATGGAACAAAGAATGTTTATTCAACAAATTATTCTGGAAAAAATA